AAATATATAAATATATATATATATATATATATATATTCAAATATATATTTTTTATGTATTTGAAAATATACAAAAATTTTCAAAATATATTTGATAAAATATATTTGAAAATATGTTTACATAAATATGTTTTCTACAAATACATTTTGTGGCCATTTTTTGTATATTTATGAAAATATATTTTTAAAAGCATTTAAAAATATATTTTGCACTCTTTATTGTTATTGCTCTGTTTATTAACAGGAATTATACTGATGCTTTTAATACTTTGTGTGTTATCATTGAAGTGTCATGTTGTATCCCATATAATGAATTGTCAAAAACTAAAGTGCACATAGCAGTTTTGTATTTTGTGCATCTTGGTTGTTCTGGTTCCTTTTTAAAATATCATATCAATCATACAGTATGATATGATACTGCCTTGTTATCGTTAAATGTCCTACTGACAGTTAATGTCAAATTCAGCTGTACACTATTAATATGAAGTGTTCTGTAATGTGCATAAGCAAACAAATAAACCCTGAAATACAAATATTTTCTTCACCCTGAAATACATTTAAAAAATATATTTTGGAATAAGAAGGTTGAAATTAAATACATATATATTTATGATTTCACAAATATTTTATTTAGCTTCACAGTCACAGTGTGTTTAAAATATATTTGACCAGAATTTGTTTTTATTGTATGGGCAACAAATGTTTTGTCATATCCCAGTACTAAAAAGTGCTGTAGTACTCTGAAAAAAGTGAATATAGCCCATATAAATATAGCTTAATTATAGTAGTTTTTGCTATTATTTTTTACATTTTTGATGCTTTTGTGACTCATTTCTGTAGTTCTTGATATGCAAACGTAAGCTGGAGAGCAAGAAGGGAGCGCTCCTCGTTCTGTCCAAAGAGCTGGACAGCTGTCAGCAGGAGAGAGACCAGTACAAACTGATGGCCAACCAGCTGCGAGAGACACACCAGAGCTTGAAGAAGAAACACAGGGAACTGATTGTGTGTCTCTGCATACTTACTGTGCAGAGTAATTGATATTTATATTTTGATATTTTATTATTGATATTTAAAAGCTTCTTGGCTTCATAGTTCATCAGTATGTTTTATAATGAATTCCAGGATGGTGACTCTTCACTTCCTCCAGAAAAACGTAATCAGGTCAGTTGATGATTGTGATATTTCACGCAGGTCATCACTTTCTCCTTCTCTCTGCATTTCTCTCTCTCTCTCTCTCAGGTCAGTCTGGCTCAGTTGTTGATGGATTCGAGGGAGAGAATAAGCAGCTTGCTGAAGAGATAAAAGAAGAGACTCACTGAGACAATAAGGTAAAGAAATGATAAAACCGTTCAAAAATAGCTATGTTTCCATCCAAAGTTGCTAATTAAACCTGTGCCAAAAATTGGAATATCACATAAAACATTAGCTCTGCTTCCATCCCACGTGTTCGATAGCACAGAATTGCCTCTTCCTGTGAAAATGACACAAAGTATCAGCAATAAAATAATAAAAAGTTGCAGCAAGAGAGGAAAGCCAGTGACTTTTTTCCCCCCACATAATAAATGATTTGTGCAATAACAAACACTGTTATGTTATTTTTGCATTCGGCTGGCTGATGTTTAGCTAAGCAATTGTGTGAGAGTTCTGGTAGGTAATTATACCAAAATGTTTTGATGACAGAAAGCATTTCAAAACAACTAAAACAATATTTGAGATGCTGTCTAGTTGTCCAATCATATGAGTTTTTATGTGCATCCAATAATTTATTTGATATATGTGACCCTGCAGCACAAAAGCAGTGTTAAGTCGCTGGGGGATATTTGTAGCAATAGCCAACAAAACATTGTATGGGTCAAAATTATCAATTTTTCTTTTATGCCAAAAAATCATTAGGATATTAAGTAAAGATCATGTTCCATGAAGATATTTTGTAAATTTATCAAAACTTAATTTTTGATTAGTAATATGCATTGCTAAGAACTTCATTTGAACAACTTTAAAGATGATTTTCTCAATATTTTGATTTCGTTGCACCCTCAGATTCCAGATTTTCAGATAGTTGTATCTCAGCCAAATAAGTTGTCTCAAACCATACATCAATGGAAAGCTTATTTAGTCAGATGGAAATATGGAAACATAGCTAATGATATACAGATATATAATAAGCTTTTCACATCCCTGTTGTCTTCTTCTCTTCATAGCTGTTAAGAATCACCAGACAGAGGCTTGAGGACGATGAAGTGGGGGTCAGACATTTGATCAGGCAGCTGGAGAAAGCAGCACTGCATGTGCGTCTTTAGATGTTCAGGTTTTTTGTGATTCCCATCCTCTTTTATTGCACTTCTCCAGTTTTGGTGAATAAGAACAACATATTCTTCATGATCTAATTGCGTCCTAATGATATTTTCACTATAAATACAGTTCTTTGTAAGAACATCTACTGGTACCATTTATTTAGTTTTTCTTTTTTATTAAGAGAGAAGAGCTTGAACACAGTCTGAAGACGCTGAGTGATGAACTGCAGGATGTAAAGGCAGAGAGGACCGTGTTTAAGGAGAAGGCCGAGCGTCTCAACCTCGAGCTGAACCACATCTTGGGCGGCCAGGAGAAGCGTATCATCGACGTGGACACGTGCTCTGCATGGAGAACAAATCCGGGAGTCTTAATGCAGATCTTCATTATGTTTAATGCTGTGCTTCTCAACCGTTTTGACTCCAAGGCCACTCCATTGTCCACAACTATTTTTTTAAGTCCTTCACATTCAGGCTACATTTCCTGAGTTTTGTTTTCAGAACTTTTTTTTTTTAAATGTACACAGATTAGGATTATCCATAGGTTAAAATAAAAAATAAGTAACTAATAATTAGAAAAAATACAATTGAAATAAGTTTCAGAATTCCGGAGGCTTTTTGTTTTACAGGGATCCCACTTTTTTAAACCAGTAAGTTTGACTTCTCTATATGTTATGTATGTATGTTATGGATTTAAATAAAAAAAAATGTACCCTCTCTTTTTAATCAATGAATTTGACGTTTCCAGATGTTTCAAATTTACTGTATACGTTTTTTTAAACACACTGTTACAACCAATGAATTTGACTTTTCCAGCTGCTTATAATTTATTGAAAAAGTATTTAAAAAAAATTACCCTCAGCTTAATTTACACGATGTCTAGAAATCACATTTTTAAAATTAGGCTTCTATATATTCAGGTTTTGCAAGACTCTGAATTCTGATTGTTTTTGTTTTCTTCTTCTTTTTTTTTTTTTTTTTAAAGTGAGGGGATGAATTAAAATAAACATCTTTTTAGCTTATTTAAAAAAATTTTTTTTAGCTTATTTGTGTCGTTTTTGATCATTTTGTGTTATATTTAGGCCCAGGGGCGTGTCTACGTGGTGGCCAGGGGTGGCACCGGCCTCCCCTGAAATCTGGCTGGCCCCCCCTACCAGATGTCTTGCGATAGGCTTGTTTTTAGTAAACTTCTAACTGCATCTGGCAGTGGCGGGTCCTGTGTAGGCAGCTGCCTAGGGACGCTTTCTTCTCTTCTTTATACTTAATTTTCTTCTATAGTGCGATCTTAATGACAATGTCGAGAGCACATAATGTGACGTGATCCATGTAGGCCTAATGCGCGAGCACGAATCTCCACTTGCAAGCAGATTTCCTTCACTCACACAAAACTGGACGTGTGCTTTTAAATATGCATTGTTCTTTTAAGAATTGGCTCTGCTCTCACACAGATACACTCAAACGTTGTCCTCGCATCACTGAAGACCAGAGGAGCTTTTTTTTCTAGTTCAGGTGAAGAGTAGGCTTTTCTCACTAAATGGAAGCAAGCTGAATATAGTCAGCCTTTTCTAGTTATTTTTTTTATTAATACTTATTTTAGTTAAGTGCTTAAATTGTAAATATGCATTTATTAAATTATTTTATTTAGTGCATTTGTATTTTGTTGTTTTTGTATATAGTGTGTGTGTGTGGCCAAAAAACAAAGTTCTACATTTTAATTGGATTGCCTAGAAAGCTCACAAAGAGCGCTCATAACCACTAAGCAGCTGTCACTCTTTGTTCATCGTATTTTAGAAGCTTAAAGAACTGAACTAACAAGGAAGTGAAGAAATGTTGCTGTTCAGCATGCCATATGAGTGCATTCACTTGTGTAGACTTCTTCACACCTGTATTCCTGCTGTTTGCAGTGCAGGGTTTGTTGTCAGAGGACAATGGTTGCAGTTTACCAGCCACACCTCAGTCTATCTCAGACCTGAAGTCTTTAGCCACAGCCTTACTGGAGACCGTTCATGAGAAGAACATAATCATTCAGCACCAAAGACAGACCAACAGGTTTGTGTGTAACTGTTTTTGCATGAACTGTTTTACCTTTTATTGCAAAAAATTTGGTGTGGAAACAATTTTCACTCAGAAATTGCAAAGCAGATTTCACAGTTAATTGTAAAGAAACTGCAAGTAACATTGAATTAAATGTGAAATTTTGAAGACAATTGTAGTTTCTTGTAAAATGTAATAATCTTTATTGTATTTACAGCTTTAAAAAAAACAGTTTAAAACTTTTTTTTTACAGTGTATGTTCAAATATCTTAATACCTGCAGGTTTTATACACAGTTATGAGAGAAAAACGTAATGTTATACATAAATCTGTATTGAGTGAATGTATTGTGCCTTAAAGAATTCTGGGAAACCGAGTTGCTGATTTGGAGAGAAAGTTAAAGACTCTGGAGTCTCCCAGGTGAGTGTTTCTTGCATGTCGTTCACATTGTTTTGTGCTTTCCATTTTCCTTTTGTTGATATTGTTCTTTTTGGCTACTAGTGTTAGTTATTATTTTTTTTACCCATATACCTATCAGTCTTTTTGTTTGTAGGATAGAATTGTAGCATTGAATCTAAGTATTGATATTCTAGTAAACAAGCCATTTGGTGTGAGGTGTCATTCTTGACTGTAGCGCAGAGGTTTTATTCAATATGATATGTAAAGTTAATATATTTTAAAAGTACTAAATTGTCATGATTACAGATGTGCAATTTCAAATATACAGTATGTAAACATCTGAGATGAATAGAAATGACATTAAAGTATATTGTAGTTTATCATAAATGCTTGTCAGTACATTCAGCAGTACTTTAACTGTATCTCAAAGACAATAGAAGTAATTATGAAAGTGCATATAAAGACGTACTTAAGATATAAAAAAGCATTTTATTAGCATGCAATTAAGTGTCTGAAAACATTACATTCAGTTCACACTTTTTCATAGCAAGTGCTCTTTTTAAAAGTAAAAAGTACTTATTGTTTCATAAGGGATGGCCTTTAGCTGTAGTGTTTTATTGAAGAAATTTGTCTTTGCACATGGTTTCAAATATCAGCACTTTTGACGACTACTTTATGAACTGATTAAGAGCATTCAGAATAGTCCGAAACTATCAGCTAGGCAGCTTACGTCAAGCACTCATTAAGAAACAGCACAGAATGTTCAAATATTTCATTATTAACAAGCAGTACTCGTAGTTTTAGAGATATGCTGCTTTTTATTCATTAGCAGGTATTCAGATGGGACATTAATGTGTTTAAGAATAAATGCATTCATGCCGCATTTGTCAATGTCTGTGGTAAACGCCAGCTCCCTTCCAAAAATATATGGGACGACTGACAGCGATTTGTGAAATCACTCGTCAGCTATTCCTCAGAGTCAAGAAACAGTCAATCATGTGACAGTGATACTAGCTTTCTGAACCGCGCTGAGAACCGTCACGACTCCTGTTATTGTATTTATTGTATTATTGTGTTGATGGGTAAATTAATAAAGGAATAGTTCACCCAAAAATGAAAATGTGCTGAATATTTACTCACCCTCAGGCCACCCAAGATGTAGATGAGTTTGTTTCTTCATCAGATTTGGAGAAATGTAGCATTGCATCAGTGTCTCAGCAATGGATGCTCTGCAGTGAATGGGTGCCGTCAGAATGAGAGTCCCAACAGCTGATAAAAACATCACAATAATCCACAAGTAATCCACACCACTCCAGTCCACCAGTTAACGTCTTGAGAAGCAAAAAGTTGCGTGTTTTAAAAAACACATCCATCGTTAAGACGTTTTAAACTTCAAACTGTTGCTTTTGGCTAAAATACCAGTCCGTAATCGATAATAATGCTTCCTCCAGTGAAGAAGTTGTCTCGTCTGAATCAGAAGAAAAATATGCACAGATGAAACACTTGTTACAAGCCAAAACAATTCTAATCAAATATGTTGGTGGATTTTGAGAGACAACAGTTATTA